CGTGTAGGGTGCTCCAGGGACACAGGGTGCCGGGGGCTCACAGCTTAGCAGAGCTGATGCAGGGGAGATGTTGGTTGCCACTTGAGAGACATGGAAAACGGGACTTGGAACAACTTGGTGGCTGCGCACGTCAGTGTGGGAATCTGCAGCAGAAAGTGGTTCACACTGTGGGCACTTGTGGGTTACAGCAGGGAGCCAGGAACCAGGCTGCCTGGGCTCTCTCCCCACTCTGAGAGGAGAAGGGGCCTGGTGTGTAAAAGCAGGGGGCTGGGAGCCAGGGCGCCTGGGGTCTCTTCTGCTCTGGGAGGTGAGTGGGCTCTGGTGGGTTGCAGCAGCAGGGCTGGGAGATGGGTCCTGGCTGTGGCTGCACCCTCTGGTGCCAGGCTGCGGCACTGCAGCATAAAGCCCCTTTGGGTGTTTCCTGCCATGTCGCTGAGAGCACCCCCACCCCCGCTGCCTCTCTGTCCCTCCCCCCCCCTCTGCAAGGGGAATTTCTGATGGGCTGTTTACGGCTGTGCCGGGGGTTTCTATGGCAAAGGCCTGGCACAGTGCCTGGCACACACAGGGCCCATTCACATGCCGCCCGGCACTCCGGCTGCCTGCTCCCGGCGCTGCGATGCTTTTTTCCAAAAAAAAATAAAATAAAGATTAATGGGTCGTTCTTCCTCCCCGCCCCCCAGCACGGGATCCCCAGGTACCTGCTGCCCTCACCTCTCCCAGCAGGGGGCGCTGTAGGGCTGGAGCACCTGGGAGCCCCCCACAGCCAGGGCTCCTGCCCCGCAGGGCCCGCAGTGCCCCCTGCTGGGGCGCTGCCCCATGGCCGGCCACGCCAGGGTTGCCAGGCCGTCATGTCCTAGGGCCACGTCCCCGTCCCCCCAGAGGCGCCCTTCTCTCACAGGCCTCATGGGGGCCGAGATCCCAGGACGGGAGGCAGGGCCCTCTGCACCCCAGGAGTCGGGGGGGGACCCCCAGGTCTGTCCGCACCCACTGGGAGGGGGCGCCTGGGGCAGGGGGGAGACAGCCCCGTGCGC